CGTCAGGATAGGAGACCTTGAGGGAGAGTTGGGGAAGTCGGGATAGGAGAAACTGGTCCTTAACTGGTATTTCAAACTGTTGAAGAAAACCTTTAGACGAATTCAATTTAATAGAGTTTAACTGAGGGAGGAACTATTTCCCAGTCAGGCCTCTCCCAGAACAGGTTCAGGAAGAATCCAGGGCCACCCTGTGGCGGAATAACATTTACAGTCAGAAAAGGGGAGTGGGGGGCATGCAGAGACTGCTGATTGGCTCACGCTTGGCCTTTGCCCTAATTGAACCTGGTCTGAACTGCTGATTGGCTGGAGCTCGCGCTGAGACTCTGCTGGTTATTACAAAGGCAACCTGAAGTTAGGTTTTCAGTGAGTTCATGTCCTGCGTTAGGTGGAAGGACTCCAGTGTGGGGGTACAGAGGCTTTCTCAGGCCAGATTTAGTTAGATGTAACAAAGCCTTGGGCCTGGATAGATCGCTTGGGGAGGGTGCTGAGAGAGAAAAATGAAGCGAGGAAGGTGTCCTCAGTGAGATCAGGAGAACCGTACAGAGAACCATGGGAGAGTGGCGGGGGGGCTGGACCGTGAAACTCAGCCATAAAACGTAATGCTTTGTGAGACTGACCCAGGTGGGATGTTTCCTGGTTCAAATCGAGAGGCTTCCCGAGTATACCGGGTGCCCGTGTGCCCACAGTCCTGGGTTAGCTGTACTTGGGGGTGTTGTCTCTCTCTCTCTTTCCAAAGAAATAAATGAATAAACTTTTTTAAAAAAAGGAACGGCCAGGGAGGGCAGAGATCCAAGAAGGAGTAGGGTGTCCCAGAGGGGCTTGACCAGCTGTCAGTTGCTAAGTCAGGTGGAAGGGGAAGTGAGAATTCACCTTTGGACTACCCGGAGGTCAGGAGCAACCTGGGCATGACCAGTCTGTTGGCTAGGGACAAGAGCCTGGGTGGAACACGTTCAAGGTCAAACAAGAGGAGAGGAAGCCAGGACCATGGATACAGGCCTCTCTTGAGTCCTGCTGGCAAGGGGAGGACGAGTGGAGCCAGGAGCGTGTGGGGTCAAAGGACGGCTTTAGTAACAGGGAAGAAAGACTGTGATTACATGTGGGTGAGAATGACCCAGTGAGGGGGGGACCAGCAGATGGCATAATGGCTATGTCGATGGACTCCCATGTAGTCAACCACGGTTCGAGTCCCAAACCTGGTGGCTTAAACTTGTGCGTGCGTGTCCAAGATCCCCAGAGGAGAATGGAAGAGAAGGGACTGTGGCGTGGCCATGCCCCCTGGGGGGTGATTTCTCACTTTCTGTCTCTCTTTCTCTCTGTCTTTCTGGTGAGTGCACGTGCCCTATAGCAAAAACCTCTCCAAAAAAAAAGGAAAAAAAGAGAATGACCCAATGAGGAGAGAAGAGGAATGTGAGAAAGAAGGGAGAGGCTTTGTGAGGTCCTGCAGCCACTGCCTCATGACAGGGTGATTAAGGGGTGGGGGCAGATGCAGGCCGTGGGCCGATGTTCCAGTAGATCACAGGGCAGTCTGCTGGCTCCCATTTTTTCAGTGAGAGAGGAAGGTGGGCCATCAGGAGAGCAAGTGTTGGGATTCCATGCTGAGGGGGAAAGTAGGCTTCAGGGCTGGCCGCTCAGCGGGTGGCCCTGGGGCAGCATAGAACAGCCCAGCTGTGAGAGTTTAGTAGAAGTGAGACTGGCCCGGACCAGCAGTTAGCGTAATGGCTATGTCACTGGACTCCCACGTAGTCGACCGCGGTTCGAGTCCCAGACCCGGTGGCTTAAACTCACACCGGGCATGTGTGCGTGCGTGCCCAAGATCCTGGGAGGAGAAAGGAGGAGAAGGGATTGTGGCGTAGCCATCCCCCCTGGGGGGTGATTTCTCGCTTTCTGTCTCTCTGTCTGTCTCTGTCTGTCTGGTGAGCGCATGCAAAAAAAAAAAAAAAAAAAAAAAAAAAACTCTCCAAAAAAAGAAAAAAAATAAAAGAAGTGAGACTGGCCCGCACTGGACCTGTGATCAGAATCTGCAGTCACAGAGCCCCCGGGGGTGGGGGTGTACACATTACTGTCTAAGCAGCTGGCCTGGGGTGCAGGTGGGCAAACTGCACCTTGTAAGTCCTGCCCATGGCTTGTTTTTGGAAGTGCAGTGTCATCCAGACACACCCCATTTGCGCATTGTTCACGGCTGCTTTTGTGCTCCAGGGGCTGCACCACACTGCTGCTGCGGCAAAGACCAGCTGGCCAGCAAAGCCCAGTGTTTCCTGTCTGGCCCTTCACACAAAAGCTTGTCCTAGGGGCCTCGGGAAGTGGGGGAGTGATGGGGTTAGGCCTGGGGCATCAACATCACCAAAGAGTCTGCTTGCCAGAAAGACAGAGAGACAGAAAGCGAGAAATCACACTCCCCCCCACCCCCGCCGCCCGGGGGGGGGGGTGGCCACACCCCAATCCCTTCTCCTCCATTCTCCTCCTGGGATCTTGGGCACGCAGCACGCACGCACACATACCTGGTGTGAGTTTAAGCCACCCACTCGATCTGTGGTCCACCACGTGGGAGTCCAGTGACAGCCACTACGACAACTGCTGGTCCCCAGAGAGCTTGTTAAAATAAAAATTACTGGGCCAGCCAGTGGTATGGTGATTAAGGCAGCTGGATTCCACATGGCACACAGTGCTGTTTGAGTCCCGGACCCAGTGGCCTGTAAACCATGCCAAGCACGTGTGTGCACATGTGCCCAAAATCCCAAGAGAAGAATGGAAGAGAACCCCATGCCTGGGGCAAAATAGGGTTGCCCTGTCCAGGGCAGAGTGTGGCGTTGTGGCTTTAAGTGTGTGACCATGAGTTTCAGGCAGAACCAGAGGACACGTGTTTGTCTCTCCCCAGTCTTGTTGAGCCACCAGGTACAGGGCAAAGGACACAGAGAACTGGGGAGCTGGACTTCTCCCAGGCCAGCTCAACGCTGGGTTGGAGGCCAGAGGCAGAGTGGGGAAGGGGTTGGGATCACGGGGTGAGTTCCTGGTGCAGTCAGGAGACCATCAGCTGGCTGCCTGTCCCTGCAAGGGAGCTGGACTTCCGGGAGTGTTGCAGGAGCCTGGAGCCCCTCCCACCTCATTTGCCCTATAAGAGGCTGTGTGGGCTCTGGAGCACCACCTGGGGTTGGACCACGGCCTCTTTGGGGTATCCTGTCATTTAAGTAGATCTGAGCAGTAGAGCTCCTCCGTAGGACTGCAGGGGTGTGGCTGCTTGTCCACTTTGGCCTGTAGCCGCACTCTTCTCTCCTAACAGCGCTGTGGGAGCTCCACACTGAGCTGGGTCTGTCTCGGTGCAGGCAGGGAACTCGGTCATTCAGCGACTGGTGGAAGAAAGCTGATTTGTTCGGTGTCTTCGGTCTCACAGTGTCCATCTGGCCCTTGCTATACTTTTTTTTTTTTTTTTTGCCAAGGACACTTGTGTGTGAGAGAGAACCCTAACAGGGCCTAGTCACCCTTTTTTCTCCAATTCTCTGTCCCCTCTAGACCCTGTGTGCACACCTGAGATCAGGACTTGAGCTCTCGTTGGTCATGTGGCATGTGGCTTCCTTTGCACTGCACTTAACAGCTGTGCTGGGGGCTGGCCCCCTTCTGCACCTGCAGGTGGGTGGAGCCCGGGCCTTCATGAGAGCACTTTGTGTGCACACAGGGGGCCTTACCCTAGGGGAACGCTGCTCGCGTGTCCAGGTGTGGACAGGCCATGCACACGCACTGTAAGTGGGCGTGTTACCTGAGCCGCCTGGTTGTTGGCAGCAGCATCTCGCGGAGACGGGAAGAACTCCTGTGTGGGAGGAGTACTGGGGTCATTGGACTGTTTGGGATGGAATTCTGGAGGGCAGGGCCTGGCCCCAGGCACAGTTTAAGGTGCCAGAAACCGCTCCCCACTCAGACATCCTGACTCAGGTGTCAGCCCCTCTCTGGGACATCAGGCCTCTTTTTGTTCTGGAAGGTTTGACTGGTGCCTTGGAGGGGTCGAGCCCAGTGGCGAGAGTGTGCCCAGCGCGTCCTGCCAGCGGCGTGTGGGTGGTGTGCATTTCTCTGCACTGCCCCTTGTGCAGGCGGCGGGGTGCATCTGGCATCTTTGCTCAGAGCATCACGTCTTTGCTCTCCACACAACTGAGTGAGCAGCCATGCAGCATGTAATGGCGTTTTGATCAACGCCGGACGGCGTATGTGATGGTGGTCCCATAAGATTGTTCCCCGTGGCCTGGGTGTGTAGTGGAGCTCTCAGCGTGTGTAAGTGCACTCCGACGTTCTCACTCACGACACGTTTCTGCACACAGATCCCTTCATTAAGCTCTGCATGACTGTATTCAGAGCGTTTTAACATTCTCGGGAGCAGTCTTGTTTGCCAGTGCATCTTAGCCTCGAGAGGGAGGTACAGGCTGCCCAGCTGAAGACAGGGCTCGTCGGGGCCCTTCCCAGGCCTGATGCATTTCTGCAGCTGGGCAGGCTCATCGCAGCTCCCCTGCTCCCTGGGAGTTGAGGAGACCTCTCTCTCTTTGGGTTCCTGGTGGGATTTCGTTCCTGTGTTGTCCGCATTCACTCAGGCATTTTCCTGGGTCCGAATGGTGCCCCCGATGGCCCCTGTGCAGATGCTGCAAAGCTCGTGCACTGAGTTTGCGTACAACACTTGTCTTGGCTGTTCATGATTTTTACAAGCTCCATCCTTCTCTGTTCCTACTGGGAACAGACCTTAGTCCCTGAGTAACCTAAAGGCAGGACTCGTCCTGGGGCCCGGGAGGTCAGGCTTTCTGAAGGGCTGGTATGTGGTGGGACAGGTGGCCCAGAGCCGTGACGACGGAGGACCACTGAAGACAGCAGCAAAGCTGCCAGTGCCACGGCCCACCAGGCCACACTGTGGTCCTGTCTGCATTTTGCTCGAGAAGCCTGCTGGCGTGAACCTGAATGTCATTTACTTCTTCTCTGGCAGGAGAGTTCAGAATGTCCACACGGGCCTCGACCTGACTGTGCCCCAGCACCAGGAGGTGCGGGGCAAGATGATGTCTGGCCACGTGGAGTACCAGATCCTGGTGGTGACCCGGCTGGCTGCGTTCAAGTCGGCCAAGCACAGGCCCGAGGATGTCGTCCAGTTCCTGGTGAGCAGGGGGCTCTGGCCAGGAGTCTCTGAGGGTGTCCAGGGCCTAGGGACCCAGGGGAGGGCGGGCACAGCTATCCACCAGGGTGCGAGGAGCAGGGAGCTGGCACTTCTCCCCCCAGCACTTGCTCTGGGTGTGAGTATGCGAGACTGTTAGCTGGTGGGGACATGAGAGTGGCACGTGCCGACAGCCCCCAGGGAGACCGTTTTGTAAAGAGATACAGGACAGGCAGTGACAGGAATTCACAGGGAGCTGGCGAGAGTGTAGGGGAGGGGTGCCTAGCTCACCTTGGGGAACGTCTCAGAAGAGGCGAAGATGGAGCTCGTTTTAAAGCGCCGGCAGAGCTAAGCTGTAGAAGAGGGGCGAAGGGTGTCCCAGGCAGAGGGCACAGCCCAGGCAGAGGCTGGGACGGTGTGATGTGTGGGGAACTCCGAGCAGCCAAGTGTGGTCTTGGGATGACGTGGGAGATGAAGTGGACAGCAGGTAGGATCCAGGCCCTCCCTGCACTCATCTCTCAGCCAAGGGACAGTCTTCAGTCGAGGAGTGACATGGTTCCATTTGCCTTTAGCCAGCCAGTCTGGTGGGAGCATGGAGCTGAAGTGGAAGGAACAAGGCAGGAGAGGGGAAGCCCAGCGATGAGACCATACAGCAGTCCCCACCCAGCAGTTGGCCTGGGCAGGAAGGTGGGAGGGAGGGACTAAAAATATTTACAAAGTCACATGCACTTAACTGGCCGATGTTTCCATTTATTAAAATGAAGAGCAGTGGCAGAGGGACAGCTCTTAGGGGGTGTGTTAAGGGTAGTGTCCCCTCAGCGGATGGACGGATGGATGGATGGAGGAGTGGATATGTGAAGCTGGAGCTTGGGTCAGGCCCAAGATGCAGGCTTGTAGGCCTCAGCTTGGAGATGTTGAAAGTTTGGGAGGAGGTGAATTGGTCCAGAGAAGAGGCACACAGGGCAGAGAAGAGGGCTGAGGAGGAAACTTTGCGGATATCAGCATGAAGGGACATTCGGGGAGGAGGCGTCTGTAGGTGAGGCAGAAGAAAGAGAACCTGAACCTTGTGACCAGGGAGACAGGCTGCAGGATTGTTAGGATAAAGGTGAAATGAACCAGCGCCCTGCAGTACTCTGGGGAGCAACCTCATGCAGGCTTGCACACAGTGAGCATTGAACCTCCTGGCAGCCGAGCCAAAAAGGGAAACAATGAATTGCAAAGCTGCGGTGACCTAGTAGAAGAGACACCAAATTCTAAGAGAAATGTGTGGGCTCTTACCCACAAATCCTATACAAAATGGCAGGTGAAAAAGCTGCGAAGCAGGATACTAAGGAGAAGAAACCGGAAGCCAAGGAGGTCAATGCCAGTGGCAAGGTTAAAAAGGGTGACCCTAAGGCTAAACAGCCCAACAAGGGGAAGCCCCAATCCAACCAAAACCTGGTCCTAGTCTGAAGAATCAGCAGATACTCCCAATCTGCCATGCATTCCAGGAAGGCCACGTACAAGAGGAAATACTCAGCCTCGAAATCCACGATTGAAAAGAAGAAGTAGAAGGTTCTTGCCACTATCACAAAACCAGTTGGTGGGGTTAAGAATGGTGGTACCGGGAACCAGCAGTTAGCGTAATGGCTATGTCGCTGGACTCCCACGTAGTCGACCGCGGTTCGCGTCCCGGACCCGGTGGCTTAAAACTCACGCCGGGCACGTGTGCGTACGTGCCCAAGATCCCGAGAGGAGAATGGAGGAGAAGGGATTGCGGCGTGACCATCCCCCCTGGGGGGTGATTTCTCGCTTTCTGTCTCTATGTCTCTCTCTGTCTGTCGCCGCCCCATAATGAAAAAAAAACCTCAAAAAAAAAAAAAAAAAAAAAAAAAGAATGGTGGTACCCAGGTGGCTAAGCTTGGCAAAATGTCTAGGTATTATTTTACTGAAGATGTGCCTCGAAAGCTGTTGAGCCACAGCAAAGACCCCTTAGTCAGCCTGCGAGCTGGCATCACTCCCAGGACCATTCTGGTCATCCTCACTGGACGCCAAGAGAGTGGTTTTCCTGAAGCAGCTGAGCAGTGGCTTGCTCCTTGTGACTAGGCCTCTGGCCCTTAATCGAGTTCCACTGTATAAAATACACCAGAAATTTGTCATGACCACCTCCACGAAAATTGATATTAGCAAAGTAAAATTCCCAAAACACCTTTCCAATGCCCACTTAAAAAAAAAAAAAAAAAAAAAAAAAAAGGGAACCAGCAGTTAGTGTAATGGCTATGTCGCTGGACTCCCACGTAGTCGACTGCGGTTCACGTCCCGGACTCGGTGGCTTAAAACTCACGCTGGGCGCATGCGTGCCCAAGATCCCGAGAGGAGAATGGAGAAGGGATTGCGGCATGACCATCCCCCCTGGGGGGTGATTTCTCGCTTTCTGTCTCTATGTCTGTCTGTCTGGCGAGCGCACGTGCCCTATAGCGAAAACCTCTCAAAAAAAAAAAAAAAAAGCTGCAGAAGCCCAGAAACCAGGAAGGTGAGATCTTCAACACAGAGATTACAATACTGTGCATGGTTGATCAGAAAGGTGTGGTCTCATAAATTCTATCCAAAGTCAAAACCGTTGCTCAACTCCAGGGCTACCTACAATCCATGATTGCCCTTACAAATGGAGTATATCCTCACAAATTGGTGTTCTAGATTTCTTGCCAAGAACCTAATTAAATAACTGATCATTAAAAAATAGAGATTTGTAGCATAAATCTCTCTTAAAGGGGCATTCAGTGACATCATGGTATGTGTCTAAAGCAGCAGGGCTGAGTTTGTCTGCTTGCGCCTCAGAATCGCTTCCGGTAAGAACTGTGGTGCAGTGTCAGGCATCAAGAAAAAAAAAAAAAAAAGCTGCAGAAGCCCAGAAACCAGGAAGGTGAGATCTTCAACACAGAGATTACAATACTGTGCATGGTTGATCAGAAAGGTGTGGTCTCATAAATTCTATCCAAAGTCAAAACCGTTGCTCAACTCCAGGGCTACCTACAATCCATGATTGCCCTTACAAATGGAGTATATCCTCACAAATTGGTGTTCTAGATTTCTTGCCAAGAACCTAATTAAATAACTGATCATTAAAAAATAGAGATTTGTAGCATAAATCTCTCTTAAAGGGGCATTCAGTGACATCATGGTATGTGTCTAAAGCAGCAGGGCTGAGTTTGTCTGCTTGCGCCTCAGAATCGCTTCCGGTAAGAACTGTGGTGCAGTGTCAGGCAGGGGCTCTGGGTCTGCATTGGCTCGAGGGTGGCTGAGCTCTGCAGTGTGATTTGCAGCCATGGTGATCTGCCTTGACCCGGGAGGGAGCTCCACGCACCCACGTTCTCAGGGGCAGGAAAGGGAGGCAGCACCCTGGGAGCTGTTGAGCCCCAGACCAGCCTGCTTGGCCCTGTGCCAGGGCTCTGGCTGTACATGCAGGATGTCTTTAATACCGTCACATGTCACACCAGTGCCACTTTTTCCTAGCCGGTGACATGCAGGCCTTGGGAGTGTGCACATGTGCATTGCTTCCCAGACATTCCAAAGGGCCTGCCAGGGCAGAGGAGAGCGTGATGGCACCCATGGGATCTGGAGTTGTAGCCCAGAGCTGCATACCCTAAGCCTGGTATCTAAGTCTCTCTCTGAAGTTTCATGTTTCAGTTAAAGGAAGTAATGAGCTTTCTGCATGTGGTCCTTAGAAGGACAGATGTTTTAATATAAACATGTGTTTAATTGCTAACCAGGTAGGACCCAGGAGGGGCACTGTGTGAGGTTTCCCGTCCAGACACGCCTGCATACATTCTCGGGGAGACATACTGTCTGCTCACAGCGTGGGGATGGGGGCAGGAAAGACTAGGTACATATGAGCTCTGCCCTCAGCGCCTCCCACGGCCCTTCTTGCTGCTGGTGCAGGTGCATGAGCTCCCTGAGAAGCCCTGGCTAGATGCTGATGGACATGGCCCTGGATAGGTGGAGACCCAATGCCCAGGAGATCCAGCTCCCAGAACCCTAGCTGTGGTGGGTCTGTGTGCTGAGCCTGCATAGAGGCATCAGGCCAGCAGAGGGCGCTCAGCCTCCACATGGCCTGCTCTTCCGGCCTGGTGGGCCACAGTCGCAGGTTCCTCAGGCTATCCTGGGACCAGAGCCTGTGTGAACAATGCAGGGTCCTCTGGCCTTTTGTTGATGGCTGTTCTCAGGAGTGTTCAGAAGCCAGGCTCTTGGGCAGACAGCTGTGGGAGCAGTTCCCTGTTCCAGGTGACTCCCATTCAGGACGGTTCTGAAGGCCTGCCGCCCCTCCCAGCATGGGGGTTCTGAAGACTTTGGCTACCAAGTGTGCATTCTCCAGACTCAGCCTTCAAGAGGAATTGCTGGGCTCCCCGAGTCACAGTGCATCCGAGCACCCTGTAGCCCCCAGCACACCAGCACTGCAGAGTTGGCACGGTGCCATGGCGCTGGCACTGCCCTGCTGTGCTGTGGCTGCTTACCCTGCATGAGGCCAGGAGCCTGCCCAGGATGCCCCAAACAGCGAACATACTGCAAGAGCTCGATGAGGGAACGAGCAAGCCCTCAGCTGCCTAGGAGTCGTGGAAGAGGCCGTACCCTCGGTTGACTCCGATGGCACTTGGGACCACCAGCTGATGGCAGCAGGAGCCCTGGCCTGCTTCGCCCAGGCCCTGGCATGCAGAGGTCTTGGCTGACAGCAGGACAGAGAACAGCTCTGACAATACCTGGCCTCACAGCTTGAAGGACTGGCCCGGCCAGGACACTCTCTAGTTCTCAGGAGAATGATTAAGAGGCCCGTGCTGAGAAGAGGTGACTCATGGTGTCATAGGAAGTTGATTGGACAGTGAGCTCACCCTACTCGTTAGTTCAAAGTCCAGAATGGAGGCAGTGACTGTGGTCGCCTGCAGGCCAGGTAGGGGTCTGATGTCTTCACCTGGGCCCATGGTGGTGCCTAGAATCACACCGGTAGCACATTTTCCTTTGGGCCGTTAAGACATTGTTCACTTAGCTTGCAGTTGGCGAGGAGGGTGCAGGGCTGGAGCCCGAGGCAGGGCCTGGGGAAAGTCAGCAGGTGGTGTGCCCCTGGCATAGCTCCTGTGGCTTCCGGCCCCAGGGTTCTCTGGTGGCTGCAGAGGAGCTCTCTCCTCTCTTTGCTCAGAAAACCACATTCCTCTCATTCCAGGTCTCCAAAAAGTACAGCGAGATTGAGGAGTTTTACCAGAAACTGAGCAGTCGCTATGCTGCAGCCAGCCTCCCCCCACTCCCCAGGAAGGTCCTGTTTGTCGGGGAGTCTGACATCCGGGAAAGGAGAGCCGTGTTCAATGAGATTCTGCGCTGCGTCTCCAAGGATGCTGAGTTGGCGGGCAGCCCAGAGCTGCTAGAGTTCTTAGGTACTGAGGCTCCACCCACGTCCCTGAGGCCTCCCTGCCCTGAACTCAGGCTCAGAAAGTCTGGTCTACATCTTCCCTCTGCAGCCTAGAAGCTTCACCCTCCCCAAGACAGATGGAAAGAGACCCAGCCTTCCAGGGACTGACCGTCCAGGAGCCAGGTGGGGCTCACACAGGGGCATGCCCATTGCATGACCCCATTGTGGCCTTCCTGGCCAGCCCCATCCCTGATGAACACACACACACGCACACACATACATACACACGCATACATGCACATACCCCTCCCCCTTATGACAGCCAGGCCTGGGGCCTGCCATATCTAGGAAAGGGCAGCTAGGCTGGTGGCCAGAATCCTGGGGACACCTTACTCTCAGTCCATGTCCCCCAGAGAGGGTCACAGATGTGGCTTCAGGTAAGGCACAGCCCAATGAGTCCAGCACCTGCATCCCCATAGTGAGACCTTAAGCCCTTCCAGCCAGAGACACGGCCCCTCAGTCCTCCTGTCTTCACTTTCCCATCTGTAAGATGTGGGTCATAGCCCAGGTGACAGGTGTCCTGAGAATTCAGCGAGCTGAGGCTCTCCCGTGCTTGGAACAGCGCCTGCCCACAGCCAATGGTGGCCGTCTCCCGCCCCCACCCCTCAACACCCCATCAGCTCTGAACTCCCCCAACCAGGGCAGGCTAGCTTCTCGTGTGCCCCCAGGTGGGGGCTCCTCACCCCCACCCTGACCAGCCTCTCTGCTCTTTAGATCAGTCCAGTTATCTTCAGCTCTTCTCCTGCTATGGTTCTCTCAGTTCCACAAGACAAGGGAACTTGACAGCAAACCAATTTACCAATGAACAACTCTTTTTTAAAATTATTATTTACTATAGAGCGCATGCACATGCACCTGTACAAAAGAGAGGGAGAGAGAGAGAGAACCCCCCAAGGGGGATGCACTTCATAGTCCTTTCTCCTCCCTTCCCCTGGCAGGATTCTGGGCATGCATGTCTGCACACACACCTGGCATGTTTTTCAAGCCACTGGGTCCAGGACTCGAACTGGCCATGTGAAGTCCAATTACCGTAACCACCATGCCAGGGGCTGGCCAGCACCTACCCGCCTACCTACCTACCTACATACATACCTACTTACTTGCTTATTTAGCCATAGGGCATGTTGCTGGAGAGACAGAGGGGGAAAGTAGTGAGAAACCACACCTGGGGGGGCGGCCACTTCAGTTTCGTCTCCTCCATTCTCCTTTTGGAATTTTGGGCATGTATCCACAGGTGCCGGCATAATTTTCATGTCACTGAGTCTGGGACTGGAACTGCACAGTCGGCCTTGTAGGATCCAGTGCCTTAACCACCATGCCACAGGCTGGCCCAAATCAGTTTTTGAAAAAGTGAGGGGTAGAGAGGCCTGGGACTGGATGAGGTTGCGGAGCCACGGTTCCTCGGGTCCATTCCTGGGCCCCCACACAGGCCTGGGGTCTCACCTGCTCGTTGGCTCTGAGGTCACAGCTCTCCTCTGCCTGTGTCAGGGCTGTGAAGACCGTGACAAGGGGGCCCTGGCCTCTCTGTGGAGGGTGAAAGCCCA